CGAGTCTGCGGGGGCGCGGCGGAGACTCGTGCGCAGCTCAGTCGCCCCATGCGCTCCACGAGCTGTGGGAACAGATGTGCTCGCGGTCCGCGAAATGTTCTGGTCGGCATCTCTGCAGACGGCCGTCTGGAGTCGAGGCGCGCCCCGGATGCTCGTGCTCATCCACCACACGCAACTTCATGTCCAGATCCAGAAACTGGAAAGGCCGCTCAGTGCCGCACGCTAGCTTATCGTAGTACTTGCTGCTCTTCTTGCTTCTATACGCAGCCATGCATTCAGATTTTCCTGGCTCGAAGTTGATCTCGAGGGCAGAACTGACGCAGACCTTGACAGTCGCCCCCATCAAGGCACGAATCGCGAGGTTGCGGCGAGCGGGGGTCGAAGCTAGCAGGGCCAGGCGCTCATCATCTACAAGCGCAGCGTCGAAAACGGTCTCATCGATCGACGACCAGGCTCATGCTTGGGGTTCAGAGCTCCGAAACGCACCATCGCATCTGGATAGTCTCAAGCCTAGGCCTAGCAGAGCAAGCTCAGGGTACAGCATGAACAGCGCGCTACTATGTGCGCCGTCAAACATGTCCGGGCCGAACACACACACACACACACACACACACACACACAAACACACACACACACACACGCACACACGCACGCACGCACACACATACACACACAGATGACGTCCCCCTGTGAACGTCTGCGCAACGTCAGGGAGGTCAGCATGCTTGAACCACGAAATCCGGCGCAGCCTAGCAACCAGCCTGGCTGTTTTGGGATCTCCCTGCCACTGCTCAAAAAACAAAACCGTACATATCGCGATATATTACAATCTGGCGCGCAGTCTCATCCGACAGGCCGAGGGGGCGGAGGTATGGAAAGGGGTCTTGTACTTGCGCATCAGTCATGCCGTGCACGAGCCCCCCAACGACTCGATCGAACGCTTTAACATAATGGAGAACTAACACGAACCGGCATGCATCCTGGATCTTGGCCATGGTCATCAACAGGAGGACAAGATGTGGCGCGAAACCAGTCTCGCGGTTTGCTGGAGCTCCGCACTGCAGGCTGGGCTGACGTGAAGTATATCTGTAGTATCTAACCAGCGCGGCTCGCAATCGATATAATGATCTCTTCGCAGAGGGATATGTTAGCATAATGCCACAACAATTACCAGGGCCTTCTGAGCTCCGTTTCTTCTGATATATATATATATATATATATATATATATATATATATATATATATATGTATACATATAGAATATCTCTCTATCTATATATATATATACAAGCCTACCGCCAGCCCGAGAGAAGGGCCATCTCTCTTGCTCGACAAGCTTCACGCGCAACTCAGAAAATTCCAAATCTAGCGAATCGATGGCAGCTCGAAGGAGCTCACCGTGGATTCCGTCGTTGCGAACTACCGTATGATTCCTCAATCGCACGAAGGCACTTCTAGCAGCGGCGGCAGAGAGGTCGAGCGGAGTGATACTTTTCGAGAACTGGCAGCGAAGAGGAGGGACATCGGCAGACAGAGCCTCAGGAGACGCAGTCTTTCCTTCGAGCACCGCGGCACAGTGCCCTCGCATCGGCAGGCCCCCCTCACCGCGGGCGCACGCGAGCGCAGCTGCAGCCAGCAGCCCGCGCCCCGCAGGGGCACGCGCCGTGGCGCGCGTCGTGCGCGAGCACCCCGTCTCGGCGATGAATGGGCGATTCGGGGTCGACGCGTCCCCCCCCCAGCGGGAGAACGTCGCGAGGAGCTCAGACACTCCCAGGGGAAACAGTTTGCAACACACTGGCCAACCACTCTCATGGATCAGCGGGCTCGGGCGTTGCAGCTGCGGCTGCTTCGCTGCAAAAAAAAAATGGCAACGTCGCAGAAATCACGCCCGGAGACCCGGACCTCATCTTTTTCCGCGTCGTTTTTCGAGCCGGGGCCCGAAATCGAGCGGAAACGCCCGTTGCCAAAAAAAAAAGCCACGCGTGGTGGACGTGGACGTGGAGAGCGCCCCTTCGCGCGAGCCCGCGGCGCCTCCGGCGCCTTTTGGAGCCCCTCCGGCCCGCGCGGTCGCCTTCGACGAGCCGGCGCGCGAGGGCGCCGCGCGCCGCGGGCAGCGCGGGGGGGCCCTCGCAGCGCTGCGCGCCGAGCCGCGGCCGGCGCGCCGGCCGCCTCTGCGCCGGCAGCGCTCGCGCGCCGGCCTCGCAGCTTGCCTCGATCCGCCGTCCCGCGCCTCCTCGAGTCGTGACAAAAATCACGGCGGGAGGTTTTTCGCTGTATTTTCGGCCTCTGAGGGCCCTCGCCGGGCCTCGGGGCCGTCAAAGCACGACTCGGGTCCCGGGGAATGGGTCTGGACCTCTGGGGGTCGCGTCATGAAAAAATCATGGCGTCGGGGGTCTGGGGTCGCAGGCTGCGCCGGGCTCCGTCGGGCTGTGTCGGGCTCCGTCGGGCTGCACCGGGCTGCGCTGGGCTCCGCCCAGCTGCGCCAGGCTCCGTCGGGCGGCGTCGAGCTTCGTCGGGCTCTGCTCGGGCGCGCCCGCCACTGCCGCGCAGACCACCGCGATCGGTGCGCAGCGCGTTCGCGGCAGCGTCGCCCTCGCCGCGCCCGCCGTCGCGCGGCGCGAGGATGGCAGGCAAGACAGGCGAAGGCGCACTGGGCCTTCCTCAGCAAGGCGCCCCGCTCCATCTCGCAGCCTCTGCGACGAAGCCGCGCCAGAGAAGCCGCCGTCTGAATCTTTCCCCGCGAAGTTGTGGATGTCCAGGGCTTTCGAGGTCTCTTCGGAGGAAGGCCAACAACTTTGTGCGCATGGAACGAAATGTCGCTGAGTTGCTCGAGGCACGTTACGCATTGAAGTTTCCAACCAGGTCAGCGTCAGCCAATTTCGACTTAACAAACAGACATAATACTGGACTTGTTCAGTTTCTCAAGCTTTAGATTAGCGGCCATGTCCACATCCACAAAACTTTGTCGGTGATCGACAGAGCCATCGAATTTGAGATCAACTTCATCATCCGCATGAGCATCTTCAGCAAGGTGCCTGTGCCCACTCTTGATACAAGCGTAGTCCATGCGAGTATTTGTTCTGCACGTGGACATCCATGTCCATGCGATTGGGACTTGGGTGCTGGCCGCATACGTGTAGACATTGCTGAGGCATCTGCGAAGCCGAGCTCCGTTGGTGTTCTCGGCGTCGTTGCATGCTGCCCTGAAGGAGACTTGACACTGCCGACTCTCGCGTTAGCGTCGATCGGCAGCAGCGCGGCGCAGGGCGGGAACTTCTGGCGGCGCGCGCCGAGGTGCCGCGCGAGCTGCTCCCAGGACTCGCCCTTCGCTGGTTTGCTTGAGTATTCGTGGGGGGCGTGCGCAGAGCGGGCCACGAGCCCGGCGCCCAGCGCCTGCGCCACTCCAACCACAGCAGCTATCTTCGCACGTGGTTGCGCAAAGACATCAGCCGAAAGCTGCGTGGAAATTGAAACCCATACTCGAGAACGAGAGCGTGACTCAGGGCTCGAAGAAGCCGCCCACAGCGCGGCGCCTGGTGGCGCTCCTCCCTGACTGAATGCCCACAGTACCATGCCCAGCCTCGTGAGACACCATGTCTGGAGGAAGCGGCAGCCTTCCTTTTCGAGCGACGCAGGTGCAAGTTGCGCTGCGAGGATCGCCGACCTCACCCTGCCACGGAAGCAGCGTGCCAACGTGTGCAGATTAACTGGCGAAGAACGGTATCAAATAAACTTCTTCGCTGTCGGAGGCGCCTGTCCCTGGGCGGCTGGAAAGTCTATGCCCTTACGGTGGCACCGCAGGGGTATAAACTTTCCAGCCGCCCAGGGACGGGCGCCCCCGACAGCGAAAGAGTTTATCTTATACCGCTCTTCGCCCGTGGAGCAGAGGCGGCGCAGATGCCGGACGAGCCCCGGCCCCGCTCGTCCTCCGCGAGGGCGCCCTCGCTCTGCGGCCGGCGCCCCGCATCGCGGCGGGGCGGGCCGCCCCCCCCGCGCCCTGCCGCGCGCTCGGGGGGGGGCCCTCGGCCGACCACGCTGCGCGCTGCGGCTCGGCCGGCCTCGCCGGGCGGCCGGGCGCCTCGGGGGCGGCGCGGCGGGCGCCGGCGGCCTCCTCCATCGGGGGCGGCTCCGCGGCGCTGGCCGGCCGGGCGGTCTGGGCGACGCCCGTGGGCAGCTGCTGCCCGAGGGCCTCCGCCTCGGCGACGCGCCGTGCAGGGGCCGCCCCGCCAGCCTGCGTGGCCCTCAAGACCGAGTCCATCGCCGAGCTCATCATCATCTGGCGCGCTTCTGGGACATGTTCTAAGACATGTTTCAGACATGTTTTAAACATGTAAAAACATGTCTGAAACAGTTTTAGAACATGGTTCACACATTTTAAGCACATCTTTCATTCAATGGTAGGATTGTTAGAGTGCCCATTGTCATGGCATCCATTGGGACCGACAGGAGACGCCCCGAAGAGCCTCGAGCCGCAGGGGGAGGAGGAGGAGGAGGAGGAGGAGGAGGAGGAGGAGGAGGAGGAGGAGGAGGAGGAGGAGGAGGAGGAGGAGGAGGGAGGAGGGAGGAGGAGGAGGGGAAGGACCAGAGTAGGGCTGCGGCGGCCACCGCGCGGCGCCCCTGGCGAGGGCCCCCGGGCGCTGGCGCGACTGGCGAAGGCAGGGCCGGCCCTCGCGCGCGCAAGGAGGGCGGCCAAGGAGGGCGGCGCCGGGGGCGGCGCTGGGCGCCAGCGGCGCAGCCCTCCGAGAGCACAGCACGCCGCCGACGAGGACCCGCGCGAGAGCGCCAGCGCCCGCGGCACTCCTGGCCGAGGCGGCGCGGCCGACCGCAGGGCCGCCCTGCGGGCCCGGACTCCTCCT